GCGAAAATCGGGATGTTAGTAGAAGGGGAGCATAGGAATGGGAGATTTGGATCAGGACTCCGGAATGAGAACCGTCTTGTTGGGCTCTTATCCGTCGCACGACTGTTCATGGCAACTCCATCTTCATGAAGGAAGAACACCGAATGGGACATGGTCACCCAACGAGTCATGCGAAAATCGACCATATTCTCATCAGCCGAAGGTGCTGCTTACTGGACGTTTTAGTGGCACAATCCTTCAGCAGTGGTTCAGACCACCGCCTTCTCAGAGCAGAAGCGCGATTCGGCCAAAAGCTGGACAAAAAGATCTCTCACCTTGTTGGAGGAAGGAAGAAGTTGTATATAACGGCGTCAGATTGGAGGAGCTCCTGATCACTTACGACTGGCCCATCGAGGACGACCCAGCAAAGCACTACGATCTGCTTCTTGGAAGACTGAGGGCCTGTATGAGAGGCCTCAATGTCTCGAACAAAGAACATGAAACGAATTTCGACAATCACCAAGGAAATGCTAAAGAGGAGGAGAGCACCGAGACTGAATCCGACTGCATCACATCTCGAGTGATTGTAGCCAATACCGGTTGGAGCTGCTTTGCTTGGAAAAATGGATAAGGGAGAATTCTTAACAAGTACCACAAGCACTTTCTCTTCTACCGTGTTCCGCTTACAACATCACTAAACGAAGACCGGACTCGCACATCTTCTCGGCAGATGGAATAGATCATCAAGAGACTCTACATCAAACTCTTTCGCTCGTCAACATCCGTGTCAAACCCCGTTATTCCCACTGGAGAAATACCACTACGGATTCTGCCTGCTGAAGTTCGCGCCGCAATCGGTACCATGAAGGTAGTCAGGCTCCAAGATCGGACCATGTTTCGGCCGATCTCTTATGAGCTGGAGGACATGGCCTACACGAGATAATCGCGGAACATCTAACGTCCTACCTTCAAAGAGAAAGGATCCTCGACCAGTGGAGAAGCTTCAAAGCAATCCTCCTTCATAAGAAAGGCGGTAGGGTGGCTTTTTGGAACCGCCGTCCGTTATGCCTGCTGAGCGTGCTTTGAAAATTTTCGCAAAGATTATCATCACTCGCATATAAAGGACGAGAGAAGCCCAACCTGCAGAATAAGCTGGATTTCGTAAGAGATTTAGCTGCGTGGATCACTTAGACTGTTTCGAGGATCATCGAGATTTGCCGAGAGTGCCGCCTACCTCTCGT